GACATAAAAATGGTGTGGGTAACAAACAGAACTACCAAAAAAGGACAAAGGAATACGAGTAAAAACATTTGGCCAGTATAAATACTTCACTTATAAAATGGCATCCAATTCCATTTAGAAAGGAAAAAAAAACATTTCAAGAATGAATCCTGGTGTGAAAAAAGTCTTCATTTACAGCTACAGAGGAACACACACGCGCACGCACGCACACATACACACACACTGAGGAAAAATTTGGTCCTGTGTTCTTTTTGAAGTCCAGCACAGATTTGAGTTGCGTTTGAATCCTTTAAAGAGTTAAGAGTGAAAAAAAGCTGGTGATAATTTTTGAAGGAATCAAACATAGCGCCATCTATCTGCTTTTTTATATTATTCTAACACTATTCTTTTTAAACTGTTCAACAGTCTTACAAAAAAACTCCAAAAGATAGGATAACATGCTATATTAAAACCCACCAGAGAAATAATCCAACACCATCACGATTCTGAGTAAGAAAAACACATTTTTTGCAAGAAAAGAGCAATCGCCCTCAATTTCCCCTGTACCACATTATTAGACAGTTGGCATGTTCTATAACTGTCTCCGTTTACAAAAAAAAGTTATGCGTTGCTGAAATTCCACATATGATTTCTATGGACATAAGGTAATGCGTGGCAAAGAAAATCACAGCCACCTTCTCCCACATACGTGCAAATCCTTTTCCGTTTTTATTATTGTTTTCAGCCAAATTTCCAGTTCGTTTTCAAATGCTCCTTTCTCGCCTTTTCATCCCGTTTAAGATTCAGTCCAGTTCCCAGGGCCATTTCCCTTTTGATGTACAAAGAGAACCTTCCAAAAAATGCAAATTGACTGCAGCTCTGCACATTTGTTTTGAAGCACCCGAGCTTTCGCTCCTAACCCATAATACACAACCTAATACACATAGCAGAATCTACTCTCTCCCCCTCCCTCCAATCCAACAAGCAAAGATGTGCACGAATTCCACCCCCCCTGCTGCTTGTAGTTGTCATTCCTGTTTAAGCCACTAGATTCTCACCAGAGTCTGAAACGTGCTTCTCATTCTTCGGCTGCAAAAGGAGGATGAAACGTGAACGAAGAAAAAGGGGGTGGGGATCGATTTTTAGTCCGGTGTTATTTCTGCGGTAGCTTTCTCGGTGGAGAGCGCGTTGGTCCCTTTTGCAGCGTTAGCGAAGTAAGAACCACGCGCGCACACACCCCCTCAAGTCAGTTTCGGTAACGGGGGGCGGGGGACCATCCTCAACCGTGGGTGAAATGCTCGCTCTCCAGTTTTGCAGCGCGCCTGGGGGTTGAACGCCATGTCCGCGTCTCTCTCTCCTTCCTCCCCGCCACCCCCCCAAAGCGCGCCGTTTGCTCTCCTCTTCATCCTTCGGTCCCCCCCGCCAACTCAGTACGTAAATACCAAGTTGGAAATGCTGGATTCGAGCCAGTCTCCCGAGATCATCTCACTTACCTCCGGGGTACAATAGTCTGGGAATTCAAAGTGAGAGCCCGAGCCAGGCTCCAAGTTAAAATCCAGATCCCTGTCGAGGACCGAGGAGCTCAAACTCCCCAGGGCCATGCTGTCGAAGCCCGGGCTGGGGTTGAGGTCCAACAGGTCGTCTTCGAACTCGTCGTCCGAGGAGGAGGAAGCGCAGGAGGCGGAGGAGGAGGAAGCCGACGAAGAGTGCGAGGTCGAAGGCGTCGGCGACGGCGCCCGCAGGCTGGTGTAGCTTCGGTGGTCCGACGGGGAGCAGTCGCCCACGGGGGAAGCGGAGGGCTCGCCCCCGTCCTGCCGCCCGCCCACGGCCGCTACTTCGTCGTAGAGGCTCAGCGGGTCGCTGGCTTCTGTGGAAGTGCTGAGGGTCGGGCTGGCCGGAACGGCGCCGCCGGGCGACGAGTGGGAGAAGAGGTAGAGCCGCTTGGCCTTCTTCTCGGGGAGATGTCGGCTGCTGTGGCTGCTGCTGCTGCTGCTGCTGCAGGGCGAGGAGGAGCCCGGCGAGGCGGCGCGGGATTTGTAGAGAGAATGGTGCTCCGGGGGCAGGAGGGCAGCCGGCTGGTCCGATGGAAAAGAGGACGGAGCTTTCGTGCCGCCGCCGCCTCCTCCACTCGGGCTGAGTTTGGGATGCGGCTTGCCGGCGCCACTGGGAGAGAGTTTGGCGGCGCTGCCCTTTTTCTGGGCAAGCTTGGAAGAGTTGGAAACAGCAGCGGAGGCGGCTGCTCCCTGATTGCCGCCGCCGCCGCCACTCCCTCCACCCCCGCTCTTCTCACCCGGCTTCCCAGAGTTCGTGCCCGATTTCACCTTCTTCCTTGGTCGGTACTTATAGTCGGGGTAGTCCGCCATGTGCTTGAGGCGCAGCCGCTCCGCCTCCCGGATGAAAGGGATCTTGTCGCTGTCCTTGAGCAGCTTCCACCGCTTGCCCAGGCGCTTGGAGATCTCCGCGTTGTGCATGTCCGGGGACTGCTCCATGATCTTCCGCCGCTCGATCTGAGACCACACCATGAAGGCGTTCATGGGCCGCTTGATGTGCCCGCTGGGCGTCTTGCACCAGCTCGGATCGTCCGCTTTGCCCCCCGTCGAAGCGGTCGAGCCCGGAGTGGGAGAAGAAGCGATGCCCAGCTCGATGCCGGCCCCGGAGTCCGAGCTCTCGCCGGCCAGGAGGGCTTCCGTGTTCTCCGCGTTGTTCGTCTGTTGCACCATTTTGGGGGGTCGGCGCGCGCCGCAGCGGCTGCGGGGAAGTCGGTGGGGCTCAGCTTGGCCACCCGCTTGAAACAAGACCCTCAACTTTGCCGGTCAGTCGGAGCCCTCCAAGCCCCCTTTGGCCAGCGCTTCGTCAGTCCCCCGTTACTTAAGGCACGACTCCCTCCGGGAAGTAGTTGTAGCTCCACACCGCGTTTGCCTCTTCCAACACTTGCGCACGCCTCTCGCCGCAACTTTGCACCGCGAGTTTAAGAGCAGACTCCCGGCTCTAAGTGGAAAGAGTGCCTTTCTTCTTTTTTAAAAGCAAATAAAAAACAAAACAGCCGCCAATCCCAGTTCTCTCTCTCTCTCTCTTTTCCACCTCTTCCCCCACCCTGGCGTTCACAAGTGGGTGGTTTTTTTCCCCCGTCTTTCACTCTCTCCTAATACTGTACTCGAGGTGTCTCGGCAGAAGCAGCACGCCCACTACTAAAAAAAATCTTGAAGATAGACACACAAAAACCCACTAAAAAAATGAAAATGCCCACGTCGGCAAGCGAAACTGGTAATAATGATTAAAAAAAAATTTTCTTCGTCCAAAGAACTCGTAATTAGAGGGCTCAAGAGTTTTTTCTATGGTTATTCAGCGGCTGCCAGGGAGTTAGCTGGGGGTAAAAAGCCCCGCTCGTGCAACCGAGTAGCATTAATAACCGGGTGTCTTCCCAATAGGGAAAACAGTGACTGGTGCAGCAAATGTATAGAGTCCCGTCTTGCTCGCCTGTAGATGCACAGCCCCCCAAAAAGGAAAGAGACATGTACAAACCGGGATTACAGACTTGGCTTCTTCCCCCCGCCCCACTACACACACTTTCTCTTGCTGCAAGCTTAGAGCGGCGCTCAATTCCGCCTCGTGCGGCTTTATCCTTCCTCAGCTCTTTTCTAAGCCAATCGCAGGCTGTATCCAACGCTCCGTCGTGCCAAAACCCCGCCCCTCGGTTCCGATTGGCTTGGAACCCAATAACCGTGTGCAATGAGAAGCTCCAAATCTGACCTCATTCCAATTTACACAAACTTTTTAAAAGGGCCAGAAGTGCAACTGAGATTTCTCCCCCCCCCCCGCCCCGACATCACCACATATAGACTCCCTATTTTTTTTACGTTTGCGTTTCTCCTGCTGCCCTGCGTGTGCGCCTGCGTGTGTATTTGTGGGTGCGCGCCCGCGCGCGCGTACGGGCGCGCGAAAGAGAGAGAGAGACAGCATGCTTAAGACGGACCT